TGTCGTGTATCGCGTGACCTACCGAATGTCGACGAACTAGAAGAAGAAGAAGAAGAAGAAGAAGAAGAAGAAGAAGAGGAGGAGGAGGAGAAAGAAAACGAGTGGGGGAGGAGGGGAAGATGAAGAAGAACAAGAAAGGTTGTGGAGGTAGATGAAAACGCGAGGGGGACGAGGGGAAGATTAAGAAGACGAGAGGAGAAGGAGAAGAAGAAGAAGAAGAAGAAGAAGAAGAAGAAGAAGAAGAGCTGAGAAGTTTAGGTGGACGGCCTGTCGTATGGCGGCCCTAAGGTATGGCGGCGGCGGGGTATGGCGGTAGGGTATGGCGGCGGCGGGGTATGGCGGTAGGGTATGGCGGCGGCGGTAGGGTATGAAGAAAGGCAGGGAGGGAGTAGGGAAGGACGGGAAGAAGAAAGAGAAGGAGAAGAAGAAGGAGAAGAAGAAGAAGAAGAAGAAGAGGAGGAGGAGGAGAAAGAAAACGAGTGGGGGAGAAGGGGAAGACGACGAAGAAGAAAGGTTGAGGAAGATGAAAATGCGAGGGGGAGGAGGGGAAGACGAAGAAGACGAGAGGAGGAGAAGAAGACGAAGAATAATAAGAAGAAGAAGACGAGCCGAGAAGGGGGGTGGTAGGTGGACGGCTTGTCGTATCTCACGTGACCTACAGAATGATCAAGCAGAAGAAGAAGAAGAAGAAGAAGAAGAAGAAGAAGAAGAAGAAGAAGAACGGCGCCTTCGTCGTCGGGGCCTTCGTCGTAGCAGCAGCAGCAGGATAGTCGGGGCCTTCGTTGTAGCGGCAGCAGCAGGACAGTTGGGGCCTTCGTCGTAGCAGCTGCAGCAGGACTCTCGATGGCAATGGCAACGGGCGACGGGCGACGGCGCAGGAGCAACTCTGATCATGCTGGGGGGCGAGTGGCAGACCACCCCAGCCGATCGGAGGAAGGCTGGCGCGAAGATCCACCGGCTCTGTGGCCGTCGATCATGGTGCAGAGCCGTTACAAATTTTCAAAAATCCCGCAGGCCTACCGGGCCCGACGGGATGGTATTTCGGGCCGGTCGGACCTGGTAGACCTGCGGGAGGCCAACAGTAGCGAAAAGGGGGTCAGAGACCCCCAGACAGGTGAGTGCGCTGGGGGGGCTCGGCCCCCAACCGGGTGCCCTGCCCGCCAGGCCGCCCAGGACCTTCCCCGGGCCCCCGCCCAGGATCCCCACCCAGAGTTTTCTCCAATTCTCCGAGAAACACCAAACTTGTTATCCACAAACCTTGACCAAAAATAAAACAGGAAAAAAAAAAGGGCATACAAACTGAAAAATAAAATAAAATCCAGGCCTATTGCCTTCACTACTTGGGGAGAAGGGGAGGGCCTGCTATCCCAGGTAGCGGTGGTCTAACGTGAAAAGAACACAGACTGTGCTGAGGACTTGACGTTAATGAGAGCACGGGAAATGTGTGGGCTATTGAGGAGGAGGCAGGGATGACAGGCATCCGGTTTGTGCAACGCCGGAGCCGCTGACAAGAGCGGAGTGTGTGTTGATTGTTGTGTCCCCGTGGTGTGGTGTTGTGTGTGTGTGGGGTGTAGGTTCCAGGCCGCTACACCCCTGGGGGTTGGCTGGATATCACGACCGGTATGGATCCGGCTTTTTTATAATAACACCTCCAAGGGTTGTTGTGGTTACGAGACCTTGTTCTTGAGGCCGAGGGTGCCGGTTCGAGGCCGTGCGTGCACGGCGGGGCCTGAGATGCCGTACAACGCACGTTGTTTGGTTACGACTGGTAGTAATTACCGAGGAGGCAGGGGAGACAAGGAGCCTTTTTGCTCTATAGCAATAAACAGCAAAAAAAAAAGAAAAAAAAGAGAGAAAACAAACAGGGAGAGGCAATGACCGGGGGGGGGGCGTCCTTTTTTAATGTAAAAAAAACTAAGCTATATTCTTCTCTCAATTTCACTTTTCACTATCTACCTACCACTACTCCTCTAAGCCTATACAGGGGGGGCACCTGCAAGCATAGCTACCTCTCACAATTAAGGGGATGCATGTTGCCCCTCTGCCCTAATCGGCAGTGTGGGGCTCCTTTTCTAAATCAACAAGCAGCAAAAAAAAATAAAAAAATCAGAAGCAACAAACAGGAGAGCCAGTGACCTGTGGGGGGTCCTTTTCTAAAGCAACAAACAGAAAAAAAAAAAAAAAAGAAAAAAAAAAAAGCAACAAACAGGAGAGCTGATGACCTCTGATGCAGTCAGGGAACCATCAGCCATTGCTAATGACAAAGCTGTCTGCTGCCAGCCTCCTGTTGTTGTGCTGCCTGATGGCTCCCGGGTGAACTGGAACGCCCCCGGTCAGCATATAAGCTGTATGTGGTGCAATTTTCAGTCCAGATGATCTGCCATAATAGCTGAGCGCTCTATTCGGGTGAAGACGGTAGAGTGAGCGGATTACACCATCTCCTCCAGCCGAGATCGGATCCCATCTTCCAAGCATCTTGTTAACCACGGAACGAAATTGATTACGCCATCTCTTTTTTTTTTTTTTTTCATGCCGTCTTTTATGTTCTGCGAGCGATTTTTTGCTTAGCAAGGCTTGCTTTTGCAGTAATCACTCTGCTGAGTCATGTGTCCTTTTCCGGTGCGAAGATCTTCGTGCCAGCAGCCATTCTGCGAAATCCTTTCAATTGTCTCCCAAGAGAGTGTGTGTGCTTTCCCCAATGAGTCCCTCGGGACCATCATTAAAATTGGAATGGTACAGAGAAGGGTAGATAAGCAAATGGCCCCAACGACTCCCTCGGGACCATCATTAAAATTGGAACTCGTTCTTAGAATGAAACACCAACGAGTCCCTCGGGACCATCTGTTAAAATTGGGCCCGGTTCCCAGCACGTGCTGCTCCCCACGAATAGACTGGAAAATTTGTCCGAATTATACAGAGAAGGGTAAATAAGCAAATTGCCCCTGCGCAAGGAGGACACACATAAATTGGGAAGTGGTCCATTTCATTTTTCTAAAGAAAAGAAAAAATGAAACCGATGTATACCGTTTGCGGCCTTTTGGTGAAGATCAACTGTATCATCTGTCCATCGGCCCACCTCCACAAAAAGAAAAGAAAAGAAAAAGGAACGAAACTAATGTCTGCGGGCTCTTCATCATGTATATATGTATATCCTTTCCTGCAGGCTTTGACGTTCACGTGGGTCAACTTCTTTTTCTCGGGGTTTGTAACAGGTCAGTTCAGTCCCATTCTGCAGTCCATCTTGACACCGATTGCGTTCATCCCATGTTTTTTTTTTTTTTGCTTTCCATGAAAGTTTGGTGAAGTCCTTAACAGGTCAGTTCAGTCCCCTTCTGCAGTCCATCCTGACACCGATTATGTTCACCCATGTTTTTTTTTTTTGCTTTCCATGAAAGTATGGTGAAGTCCTTGGCGCGTGCATGATGTTGCCTTCCGTCATGTAATGGTCAGCTGTCAAAGATGGACATGCGAACCCACGATCGAGTTTTGCACTGAAGGACAGGATCGGCGGTGACGCGCGATTACCTCCCGCCTGCCCCGCCTGCCTGTCCCATGTCTGCTACTTGCCAGCCTCGTACATCCTGCACGGGGTTGGTTGCCTGCCTGCCTGCTTGCCCGGCGGTGAGGCGGCAAACACCCGCCCACACGCGCAAGGCTCTGCGAGGCCGGTACGTTTGTGTCTGTCTCAGTTTTGCTGGCCTTCTTGGGAATGTGTTTCATCATGATGTAGCGACGTGATTGGTGACGCGCAATTACCCCCGGCCTGCCTCGCCCTGCCTGTCCCATGTCTGCTAGTTGCCAGCCTCGCCCTTCCTGCATGGGTGGTTGCCTGCCTGCTTGCCCGGCGGTGAGGTGGCAAACACCCGCCCCGCACGCGCAAGGCTCCGCAAGGCGGTTACGTTTGTGTCTCAGTTTTGCTGGCCTTCTTGGGAATGTGTTCCATCATGACGTAGCCGACTGCTCTCGAACTGCTGTTGAAGACGAATGTAATCGAAGTGCCAGTGGTGGCCCTCAAGGAGTCGAGTTTGTGAGTGAATGTTGTTGCCGGATGCAGTCATGCTTGCGGATCGTCGACTCGGAACCAGAGAACTGCTGTTGAAGACGAACGACGCTTATAGCCTGACCGGCAGGTTGCTTGCAATTCGCTCTGTTGCTTGGTTCTGTGCTCTTGGCGATGCAGCGAAGATCCCTTTCCCACTGACTCAACGTTTCCGACCAATGCTTCAGCGTGGAATTGATCTCAGCTCCCTAGACGTCAGCTATGTGAGCAGCCAATCCTGGTACGTTTCTTTTTTCTTTTTCTTTTTTTTTTTTTTTTCGCCAATCCGCCAGGCCCGGTCTGTTCGTGGGACCTCGAAGGCTCTAACCGTTTGTTTGTTTTTTCCAATTCCTGTGTTGGACTCTCCTTCCCTCCATCGACTGTCAGTGTGTCCTTTCCTTTCTTTTTTTTGTAATTAAAAAAAAGGGAGACGGCCTTGAGATATCATCATTGAGCTGACCGGTCACAGCCAATTCAGAAATATTGGTTTTACTCACCCTCCTGTATCATCATTTGGAATCGAACTCGGGTCTGTCTGTATTCCAACAGTTCATGGGTGTACCCACTGCGCTAGGATCTTGGGTGTTGTCCTCCTTTCCTTTCTTTTTTGTTGGCTATTCTGTTTCATCGGTAGTTCATAGCCTATCTGACGTCTCCTGACCCCTTTCCCACCCGGGCCCAACGAAGATTGATGTGCCAGTTGCCCTCCTGTCTGCTGTCCCACGGCCCTGGAGCACCCATATCCCCACCGACTTCCCCAAACTCCCTGCTCCCCTTCCTACTCCCCCGTCTCAAGACCCCCCCCCCCCC